GATTTGCTTGACAATAATCAAGGTAGAAGAGGTATAGATAAATTTGGCCAGTGTTGATGTTGAGGCTGGGTGAGGAGTACGTAGGGTCTGTTAAACTATTATCTCTACTTGCATATATTCTCAAATGTTGCATAATAAAAAAATCTTTTTTAAGTTTTAAAAAATGAAACAATATCCAGGGTGGGTGGTGGGGGTGGGGAGATAAATTCCTAAATAATTTTTTTTTTTTTTTTTTTTTTTTTTTTTTAAGGCTATGGAGAAAGGCCATCTGAAAGACCAAACAAGACCTTGTGCTAATCTGTACAGGAAAGCACAATGTGAAGACAGAGAGGTATCCACTCTCCAGGATGTTCCTCCTTGTAGCATCCCTGAAAACCTAGTAATGTCAACCACTGAAAGCAGCTACATTTCTCAATATAGACACACATTAGCCCTGTCCTCAGAAATTGCTATAAAAGCCAAATACTATTTGATTCATTGCAGTGAGATAAACTGTCATCAAGCAAGCCAGAAAGTCCTCCTTTGGAACTACAAGGAAAGCCTGATTCAGTTAGGTAACTCCTTGCTAAGCCTGGAGTCCAACAGGAGCTAACCACAAGATTGGAATTTATTCAATATTTAGTCCTGGCCCTAGCTACCTATTGGAAGCACCTGAGTTTTAATAATTACTGTTGCCTGGGCCCACCTCATACAATTATAGTCATACTGATTGGACCCCAAGCAAAAATATTTTAATAAAAGCTCCAGGGCTTCCCTAGTGGTGCAGTAGTTGAGAGTCCGCCTGCCGAAACGGGTTCGTGTCCCGGTCCAGGAAGATCCCACATGCCGTGGAGCAGCTGGGCCCGTGAGCCATGGCCGCTGAGCCTGCGCGTCCGGAGCCTGTGCTCCGCAATGGGAGAGGCCACAACAGTGAGAGGCCCGCGTACTGCAAAAAAACAAAAAAACAAAAAGGTCCAATTGACTGTAATGTGCAGTCACCACTGAGACCACTGATCCATAATGAAATCAAACTCTAGAGGCACCTTGTTATGTGCAACTGCTTGACAGAAATTTCATTCTATTACATAAATAAGTGTAGTTTGCAAATGCTTTCTCCTGGTAAGAGTTCACAGACAGGCTGCTTTTCTTGATGAGACCAAAAACACCATTTAAAAAAATAGACTTCTTAATCTAGCGTTTGTAAGAATCACGGGGTGAACTGGGTACAACGTAGATTCTGACTCAGTAGACCTGGGTTGGGTCTGAAAATCTACGTTTCTAGCAAATTCCCAAGTGATGTACATGCTGCTGGTGGTAGACCACACTTTGAGTAGTGAAAGTGCAGAAGCCAGCAGGGTTCTGTCTTGGGTTCTGCTACCAATAAGTTTATTAGAAATCCTGACTGAGAGGTCTAATTTTTTTTTATAGAAGTCAACTATCAGCAAAACAATGCTCTCACTGTTCTCTGTGTAAAAGGTCAAACATTTCACGGGAAAGCCAAAAAACTGTTTCACTTTTAACTTGGCAGAGATTGGAACTGAGCAAATTGAGGTCTCAAGAGACATTAGAAAGCAACGAGAAACGCTCTAGCTTCTCAGTTGTCAATGCCCAAACATGTGGGAACACAGCTTTAGGAGTAAGCAGCAAATCCACATCCACCTTCACCCAAATTCAGCGTTTTGTGGGTAAAGCAGCTCACCTTTCATACATAATCCACATACTCAAATAACCCGACCTTCACATCACACCGATTACTGCCCCTTCCAAACTACCTAAAACACGGCTTAATTCTATTACCAAACCTACCTATCCCCCAACTCCACCTGCATGTGTTTATTACACTTCTCACTCGAGACAGCAAAGTTCCTACTCTTGAGGAACTTTTGCACATAACCTACCAATTGAAGGTATACAAAACTGCCAGAATTTAATTAACTCAAATAGTACAGACACTTGTAAAGTTACACGAAATTCCCAAAAAACAAGTTTACCCAGCAACTCATGAGGAAACTTCCACCTTCACATCCTAAACCAAAACTCATCGAAACAGAACAGACTAAGGGACAGCTATTTTAAAGAAAATGTGGGTGGCTCTTAAAAGAGCCTTTTTAGTTGGATTGAGATAGCTGAGGAAACTTTACGCCCTCTCCCCGCGGATGCGGCGAGCAAGCTGGATGTCCTTAGGCATGATGGTGACGCGCTTGGCGTGGATGGCACACAGGTTGGTGTCCTCGAAGAGCCCCACCAGGTAGGCCTCGCACGCCTCCTGCAGCGCCATCACAGCCGAGCTCTGGAAACGCAGGTCTGTCTTGAAGTCCTGCGCGATCTCGCGCACCAGGCGCTGGAACGGCAGCTTGCGGATCAGCAGCTCCGTGGACTTCTGGTAGCGGCGGATCTCGCGCAGAGCCACCGTGCCGGGCCGGTAGCGGTGCGGCTTCTTCACGCCGCCCGTGGCCGGTGCGCTCTTCC